CCCGACTTTCTGGGGTGGATTTTGCCTTTTTCCTGGTTTGGGTTTCATTCTGTCTTACCTCTGATTGGTGCCTTCCCATACTCCTCTGCTGCCTCCAGATGCCCAGGTATCCAGTGTTGCTTTCTGGCTTAGGGGGTTTAGGATGCCTCTGGCCACAAAAATGGGGTGTCCTTACAAGGTAGATCAGAGACACAGTGAACTTCACCCTGGCTGTCGCTGAGTGACCTGCTTGGTGCCTGCTAGCCCTTAGGTGGGCACACTGGCAGAGGATGACTGGTTGTACTGAGATATTTACCCTGCGTACTGCATGAGGAGGGAGGGTGAGGATGCTGTAGGGATAATGCCAGGCCCGCTGACAGTGCGACTGTGAGGAAAGCTTTGCCGGTCTGGCCTAATGTACATGACCTTGTGTCTTAGTGGTTTCTGATGTTTTTAGAAACTTCCTGGTGACTGTGTGAACGTCTCATTATCTTGCTAATCAGCCCTTTCCTGCTACCATTACGGTTGGGTTCTGTTGTTTATGATGCGCTGAACAATGCTGCTCACGAGAATTAGACCGACTGGCTTACTTTTTTTTTTCTTTTTTAAAGATTTATTTATTTTTTATTGTAAAGTCAGATATACAGAGAAGAGGAGACACACGAGAGGAAGATCTTCCATCTACTGGTTCACTCCCCAAGTGACCACAATGACTGAAACTGAGCTGCTCCAAAGCCGGGATCCAGGAACTTCTTCCAGGTCTCCCACACAGGTGCAGGGTCCCAAGGCTTTGGGCCGACTGCTTTCCCAGGCCACAAGCAGGGAGCTGGATGGGAAGCAGTGCCGCAGGGTAAGAACCAGCACCCATATAGGATTCCGGTGCATGAAGGTGAGGGTCTAAGCTGCTAAGCTACCATGCTGGGCCCTGACTGGGCTTCAAGGCTGGACTTTGTTGTAGGGAGGCAGGGGTGAGGGAATTGTGCTGGAATTCCCACATCCCTCTCCCCAGAGCAGGAGCCCTCACACCAGTCTCACTGCCTCCCGCTGTTAGTGAGCCACTGGCTATCAACATCCTCACTGCCTTCTCCCATTCGCCAAGCCATGTAGGTCTCCAGAACACGGAGGCTTGGAAGCCCTGCTCTGACTTCTCTAGACTTATTTCCTTCTCTGAACTTTTTTTAAGATTTATTTATTTATTTTTTTATTAGAAAAGCAGATTTACAGAGAGGAAAGACAGAAAGAAAGATCTGTTCACTCCCCAAGTAGCCATAAGGCCAGAACTGATCTGACCCAAAGCCAGGAGCCAGGAGTTCTTCCGGGTCTCTCACACAGGTGCAGGGTCCCAAGGCTTTGGGCCATCCTCAACTGGTTTCCCAGGCCACAAGCAGGGAGCTAGATGGGAAGTGGAGCAGCTGGGACATGAATTGGTACCCACCTGGAATCCCAGAGTGTACAAGGCAAGGATTTAGCCATTGAGCCAAGCACCTTTCTCTGAACTTTGGAGAATCAGAGCCCCCCATTTCCTATTTCTCTTCGCTTGGGAACAAATGCCTGACAGACCAGGTGCAGTGGGAGAGGGGACACACTCTGAAAAAGCCATGCCAACAGTGGATGTGTATCTCACTGTCCCCCACAGTCTAGGATAACCCCCCACCCCAGCTTGCAGACGGAGGGATTTCCTGGGACATGGGACCTTTGGTGATTAATCATGGGAAATCCTGTGCAAACCAGGACAAGATGGTCACCCCTCATTACAACACTGTCATTACTAATCCCATCCATTGCCATGGCATTTCACACTTGCTAAGGACAGAATGGAGTCCAGGTCATCAAGAACAATGCCTCAGCCATGTGCCTTTCTCATATGTAAAAATGAATCTCACTTGAATTTTCATTTCCTTTAATATGAGTGGAAGCATTTTTCATGTTTGGAAGCCATATTTTCTATTCCTGGTTTTGTTTTTAAAGAGAATTCATTTTTTAAAAAGATTGATTTATTTTTATTGGAAAGGCTAATATAAAGAGAGAAGGAGATAAAGAGAGACAGAAAAAAAAAAACCCAGCAGAAAAAGTCTGCTATTTAACTCCCCAATCAGCTGCAAAGGCCGGAGTTGAGCTGATCCAAAGCCAGGAGCCAGTAGCTTCTTCTGGGTTTCCCACATGGGTACAGCGTCCAAAGGCTTTGGGCCATCTTCTGCTGCTTTCCCAGGACACAGGCAGGGAGCTGGATGGCAAGTAGAGCAGGTGGGATTAGAATCTGTGCCCATATGGGATCCTGGTGCATGCAAGGCAAGGACTGTACCTCTCGCCTACCGTGCTGGACACTATTCCTGTTTTTCTAAGTTATCCATTAATAATCTTTCATGTACTTGTGTGTTTTTTCTTAAAAATCATGAGGTAGGACCTGGTGTGATTGTCTAGTGACTATATCCTCCCCTTACATCTGCTGGAATCCTCTGTGGGTGCTGGTTCATGTCCTGGCTGCTCCATTTCCCATCCACCTCCCCAATTGTGGTCTGGAAAAGCAGCAGAGAATGGCTCAAAGCCCTGGGACCCTGCACCCATATGGGAGACCTGGAAGAAGTTCCTGGCTTTGGATTGGCTCAGCTTTGGCTGTTGCACCCATTTGGGGAGTAAACCAGTGAATGGAAGATCTTTCTCTCTGTCTTTGTTTCTCTCTGTAAATCTGACTTTCCAATAAAAATAAATAAAATCTTTAAAATAAAATCATAAGGCAGTAAACACATCCGGTTAGACACAGTGGTTTTATGACATGCATCTACTTTCGCCTTCAAACCCCACCTATCTGACAATAAGTAATAAGAACTATATAAAGTTGGGGCCAGCACTCTGGAGAAAGAGGTCATCAGCCTTTGGTGCCAGTATCCCTGTGCTGGTTCATGTTCTTGTTGCTCCACTTGCAATGCAGCTTCCGGCTGATGTGCCTGGGAAAGCTGCAGAGAATGGCCCAAGTCCTTGGAGACCTGGAAGAGGCTTCAGGTTCCTGGCTTTGGATCTGCCTAGCTCTGGCCATTGTGGCCAGTGGTGAAGTGAGCTAGTGGATGGAAGATATTTTTATCTCTCTAATTCTTCCTTTAAAGTAAATAAATCTCGAGTCTGACACAATAGCTCAACCCGCTAATCCTCAGCCTGCAACTGTCAGTATCCCATATGGGCACTGATTCATGTCCTGACTCTTCTACTTCCCATCCCAGCTCCCTGCCTGTGGCAGTCCAGGACAGCCTGAAGCCTTTGGGACCCTGCACTTGTGTGGAAGACCTACAAGAAGCTCCAGGCTCCTGGCTTTGGATCAGTTCAGCTCCAGTCATTGTGGTCACTTGGGGAGAGAACCAGTGCATAGAGAATTGTTCTGTCCATTTCTCCTTTTCTCTGTAAATCTGTATTTTCAATAAAAATAAAAATCCATTTTAAAGTAAGATAAATAAATCTTGGCAAAAGTTGGCATTAGTTTTCTTCAATCTGGATATTGGAAATAAGTAGTGTTACACTTTGGAAATTCCGAGATTTTAGCTCTGATTTCTATACCCTGCTGAACTATTAACTGGGTCTGAGAACAATTTCCGACACATTTAGACATGTAAGGACCACTGTGTTTGCATCTGTGCACTTTCTTTCCAGGAACCCACTGAGAGACGTGCTGCACAATGATCAGCAAATCAACACACAGTCCGTAAGGCAGAGATCCAAGTACCAGGGCCGCCATCTGCTGCCCTTCCTGGGATCTGAAATGAAACAGGCAGGACTTGAACCAGGACCCCTACGGGATGCCGGCACTGCAGGTGGCAGCTTAGTTCACAGCATCAGTGTCTGGTTGTAGTTATTAAAAGGTAAATATTATGTATTGAATACACCATTTTGAATGGCGGTGGGTAGAGAGGGGGACTCAGATTAAAACTCAGATTGGCGTGCCTTAGCAAGGGCCTCTCCATCCCAGTGCACAGCCCAGAACCCTTGACTTGCTAGCCCTGCTTGGTTGCTCCAGCTTCTTCGCCCACTGCCTTTTCCTTAGAGGTATATTCTTGGTCCAGGTCCTTCTCTGGACACTGCCAGATCACCTCCTGGGGCCCGCGAGTCCTTAGAAGTGGCACAAGTGGATGGCAGGATTTTACCGGCCAGGTCTGAGCAGGATACACACATGATGTCCTCGTCCAGACCTGGATCCGAGCGTTGGGGAAGGCTAGAGTTACTCCAACTCAAGGAGCAAGAAGTCTCCTGGAGTGAGGAGCCAGGTCGGTCACCCCCAGGTGAGGTGGGAAGAGCATCTCCTGCTTTCATTCATTTCAGGATCAGCACAGGCTCATTGGGCCCTAGGGTGGCCCAGGCTTGGCTCATGCAGAGACCCAGTTTTGTTTGCTGCTTGGGGAGCAGCAGGTGTAGGTTCCCATGGAGGAGGCGTGGCCATGGCTGGAATGGAGTTTTGATTATTTTCGATTTGATCTTAGGAACAGCGAGACTCCTTGAATCGGTGTTAAACAGGGACTAACACGCTCGGTTTAGGCTTTAAAATATATCCTGTGGCGGCCTGGAGAAAAATGGATTCGCAAGGCAGAGCTGAACAAAAGCACAGGCAGCAGAGGGACCAGGCATTGCAGGCTCCCTGGAGGAGGAGACAGGAGGAAAGGAGAAGGAAGAACTGCATTGGAGAGGGAGACCGAGGGGCGTGGTGGCGGGAGGTGAGCAGGGAACGGGTGACCTGAGGCTCGGGCCAGATAATCCAAGATGCAACGGCAGGCACCACCGCGCGGCGCGTTCCATTCGACAGATGGGGAGACTGACGCACGGGACACCAGCGGCCGAGTCGGGCCACGTAGCGCCTTCGGTGGGTGCAAGGACTGAGGCGCGTTAGGCGCCGGTAAACGTCCACACCCCGCCGGGCTCCGCGTGGCCCCGCCCAGCTCTCCTTGTCCGCGGTCCCAGTCCCAATAAAGTTATTGAAATTGATACGGGTTGCCAAGGAAGTGGGTCGCCGAGCCAGGTTGCTAAGGAAGTGAGCGGCCGCCGTCTCTCCCCATCCGGGGCAGTGAGGAATGGCTGAGCCCGGGGTTCGCCGCCGCCGCCGCGGCCCCCGCCCGCTTTCGGCTCCGGCTGCAGGTGAGTCGCGAGCGGCTCCAGCGGACGCCCGGCACGGTGGCTCCCTGCGGCCGCCGGGGTTCTCCGCGCCGGCCCTCGCCGCCGCCGCCGCCTGGCTTCGCTGCTTGCCCAGCCAGAGCATCCTTTGCCCAACCTCCGGGCATCCTCCTGCCGTCCCGGTGGCCTCGCCCCTGCTGCGTCCCTCTCGCCCCCTCGCCCAGGCGCCCCATTCTATGCACTGGGGGCCTGGGGACGGACCCCTGCTCGGGAGGGGCGGGGAAGCTGGAGGTGGGGTCCGAACCCTGGCGCTGCCCCAGGCTCCTATGTGACCTTGGTTGGGCAGGTCCCTGTCCTTCTGTGGCCTCCGCGGACCTGTGTGTCCACGGGGCGGGCGGGTGCTCACAGTGGTTGAGATAATAGGCTACGGATGTGCAGGTGGCCTAAGTGGACAGAGGGAGACCTGTGAGGGCAGACTGGCATGGGGGTCAGGAGTCCAGTGTGAAGTCTGCACTCGGTGGGCAGCTGGCCTTGGACAAATTGATTTTTTGGGCCTCCATTTTCCTGATCTGTAAAATGGGGCTAATAGATTACTGTGGGACTAGGAAAGGAGGAGATTGTCCAGGCTTGGCTCATTTAAGTTTTGCGATTGGTGAAGATTGAGGTGTGTGGACTGCCCGCTTTTGTGGTGCTGTTACCAGCCCTGATAAAGTGACCCCACTCCCAGTGCTTCTCCAATTTGCTCAGAGCGAAGCAGATGGTTGACGTCCACTGGTAACCCTGGTAGGAGAAACCCTGGTGTTAAGCGTTAGGGTCCTGTTTTCTGCTGTTGCTTGCCTTGCCAGCCGTTCCAGAAGAGTACCTGTGTTGTGTTTCAGGGAGGACTTAAAGCTGTACAAATAACACAGGTGTGCGAGTATAGACATTTGCTTTTCAGGTGCTTTATCTCCTAATCCTGGCATAGGCCCTGCCAGGTGGCTGGAGATTAAGAAGCTGAGGTTTAGACAAAGTGAACAGTTCATTGATGGAATTGAATGTGTTTCTAGGTAAATTCTGCGTTTCGACTCCCATGCTTGGATGCCTCTGATGTCTTTTTTTTTTTAAGGGTTCATTTATTAGAAAAGAAGAATGGCAAAGACAGGGATAGAGAGATTGGTGTTCTAGCATTTCTGGTCATTCCCCAAGTGCCAGGGACAATGGGCACTGGCCAGGCTGAGTGCAGGAGCCCAGAGATTCCATCTGGGTATCCCGTGAGGGTAGCAGGGCCCCAAGCACTTGTGCTGTCCTGACTTGTAGTCTTATGTGTGTGTGCAGGAAACTGGATTGGAAGCAGGGTCGCTGGGCCTCCCCCTGACGCTCTGCTGTGGGGGCAGTTGATCCAGATGGCGCCTCAGCTGGCTACACCAGAGCGCCTGCCCCTTGTCGTGGCTGTCCCAGGGGCTGACAGGAGGTTTCTGTTGGCACTTCTGGCTGCTCCAGCTGGCTTCTAGCAGCTTTTCTTCCAATGGCAAAGCTTTGTTGCCTAGACCAACTTTGTGTGCAGTGTGCATGTCAGAAAAGAGTCAGCGTGTTGCAGAGGGGCCTTCTCTCTCCTGTCCTCTTTCAGTTTAGTGAGGGGAGGAGGCCAGGTGCTACCGCAGGCCTTTCCAGTGGGCGGTTGGGCAGGTGTGGACTAGAACCCTGAGTCAGGCTCCAGGTTCTGAGCCTTGCGCAGGCTGCCTCTGCCACTCCCAAGGGGTACGCTGCTGGCCACCCCACCTGCCAGTGCTGCTGTGGGCTGCTGTGACGAGATGTCCTGGGGGTGAGATAGTCCCCCTCCTGCATGGTGCAGACTGAATGTGTGTGACATGCTCGGCATGTTTGGTAAATGTTGGCTGTGATGCCTGGGGCCTGGCAGAGTACCTCTGCTATCCGTCATTCTGTTTGTGGCTGATGAATCACTAAATTGCCAAGATGGGCTGATCCCAAGTCTGTCTGCCTGGCAAGGTCATTGCAAACCGAAAGCTGTGAAAGCAGTCCATAAATGCTAGTAGGTTGAGAGGGTTGTCCCAGGAACCTGGGAGTCGGTGCCCTCGTGGGTTGCAAAGAAAGGTGAAGGGTGATGATGGGATGTCAGGTTTGGTAGCTTGACAGGCATCCATCTAGTAGATGTCCCCTTGCTCCCTCCCTCCTGCCCTGGCACACAGAGGTCAGTTTCTGCTCCACAGCTTTTCAGGGACCCACAGCCTGGTGGCAGATGGCTGGCATTGACTTTAAACAGATTCGTATCTTCTTGTGGCTCTCTGTGCACTGAAGGCGCTGATTGCCTTCTCTGCTGTGATGTGTCTGGATTAGAAGCCCCAGATGGTTCTTGAAGCCTTTGCAGCTAGTCATTGTGGGTCTCAGAGAAAGTGCTACCTGTCTTTGTGGCGGCGCGTGCAGAAAGCTTCCTGCGTGATGCCTGATGGTGTATAGAGAAGTGCTTCAGTGTGTTTTCACTCATTTGGTCTTCCCAGTCTGGGTGTAACATGTAAATGAAGGGAGTCAGTGTGTGGCCAGTTTGTCAGTGGTCTGTTTCATCCTGGAATCCACATCCAATGCTCTTACCACTCTGTGCCCACTCAGGTCCTGCTTCCAGCATAGAGAGAGCTCCTGGTCTGGGTTCACCCAGCTCTAGCCTGCGGATGATCGAAAGGGAGAGAGGTTCCTTGTTCTCATGTAGAGTGTGTTTTAGATTGCAAGTGGAGCAACCAGAAAACGAACTGCTGACCATGTGAGATGCCAACCTCACAGGTGAGGATTAGTCCATTCTGCCACCATGCCAACCCAGGTGCAGATTATATTCTAGTGGAAACAAATGAAAAGTAAGCTCTTGGACACCCAGGTAATTTGGATCAGAGTAAGTGATGTGAAAACAATAAGACAGGTGCTGGCTCAGTTGGCTAATACTCTACCTCCCAGTGCCAGCATCCCATGTGGGCATTGGTTCATGTCCCCGCTGCTCCACTTCCTTCTAGCTCCCTGCTTGTGTCCTGGGAAAGCAGCAGAGGATGGCCCAAGGCTTTGGGACCCAGTACCCACGTGAAAGGTCCTGAAGAAGCTCCTGGCTTTGGATAGCTCAGGAACGCAGAGGTTAGAACAGCGGAAATCCGTGGCTATTTGGGGATGTGCTCACCTAGTCATTAGTTGGAATCTGGGACTCACCAGTGATCCTGACGACGAGAGCAGGAGCAGTGGCTGCTTCACGTGAGATCAGCAGTATCCGAAGCACAGCGACCCTGAGACATTGGTCATTGGTGAGCCTGCTTCCCACAAGAGCCATGGAGAGGCACAGGGGAGTTAGAGAACTTTCCCACATCTCTAGATTACTATTTATTTCAGAGGCAGATATGGGAGAGCTCTCTGCCTGTTATCTGGTGCATGTGACCCACAGCCTAACTGCCCATGACCTGAGGCACAGCTTCCAGCTGTGTCTGCATGACCTGTGAGAGGACTGGATGGTCTAAAGGGATAGATGTGCCTTGGGTAGGAGGACTGTCTGGGAACTGCCATTTTGCCTAGTCTGGGTAAGTTGGCGCTCACTTTACAATAATCAGACATGCTCCATCAGACTGTCCCCCAATGGGTCTGTAGCCAAAGAACACTGCCACCTCACCCCCTCTGTGGTCTTAGGGCCTGCTGGCGGGAAATATGTCCCAACCCCGCGCTTCCGAGAGGCAGAGGGACAGAAAAAGTTCCCGTCTGTTGGTTCCCCCATGCTGCAACAGATGGGCCTTGTCTGTGCAGAAACTGGAGACAAAAAGTTGGTCCAGGTCTGCCCCATGGGTGGTGAACCCTGTGAATTGAGCCATGATGTATCATCATGGCCTCCTAGGGCTGCCTAGCCGGATGCTGGAGCCAGGGGCTCAGCTCAGGCTGGCAATGTGGAATGAGGGCAGTTTTATTAAATTTTTTTAGGTCTGTTTTTAAAGAGGTTTAATTTGTTTTCCTTAAAAGTCAGAATTACTGAGAGTAAGAAGGAAAAGTAAAGAAAGAGGTCTTCCATCCCACTTGGGTGGGAGGCCCAGGGACTTGAGGTATCTGCTATTACTTTCCCAGGCACATTAACAAGGAGCTGGATGGGAGGTGGAATATCTGGGACATGAACTAGCAACCATATGGGATGCCAGCCCCACAGGCTGAGGATTAGTATGCTACGCCACAGCTCTGGCCTTGGCCTGTGGGCAGTTTAACTGGTGATTTAACTGCTAGGCTAAGCACCTGCCTGCTATGTCTTTCTACCCTGCACCAGACCTGGTTTTCAGATGGGCTGGTTTTCAGATGCTTGGGTTCCTTCAGGTCAAAGGCCTTTTTCTTCTATATTTAAGTAACTAATTATAAATGTTGATTGAAAAAATGACTTCAAAGAATGCTTGAGGAAATTAAGGGGAAAACCCTTGAGCTGTTTTTAGCATAAGGATGGGTGTGGATTACTTGACAGACAAGGCCACCAACAGATACCTCTAGTTTGATTAGATCCTGCTAGCTCGCTCACTTTGCTCATTTGGTGCAGTAGCTCCAGGTTGCAAGCAGCTGAAGCTCATAGGAATTGTGGACTTGGGTTCTGAGTCAGCCAGCCATGAACTGTTTCTTGATTCTGGAGATAACATCCATTCCTCTTTGCAGAGGGCGGCTACAGTCCTGTAGCACCTACTGGCTGATTGTAGCAGATTCACTTTCCTAGAGCCTTTGTTTTCTCTCTGTGCCCTGGGGCTTATGGTTTCTCCTTTCTTTGTAAGGTTCTTTTCTCTTTCTTTTTAAAGATTTCTTTATTTTTTTTTTTTGAAAAGCAAATTTTACAGAGAGGAAAGACAGAGAAAGCTCTTCCATCCACTGGTTTATGCCCCAAATGGCTGCCACAGCTGGAGCTGATCTGATCTGAAGTCAGGAGCCAGAGTTTCTTTCAGGTCTCCCCTGTGGGTATAGTGGCCCTCTGTCACTGCTTTCCCAGGCCGTAAGAAAAGAGCTGGATGGGAAGTAGAGCACCTGGAACACAGACTGGTACC